GCTTAATGTTTATGTTCCATCCCAAGGGTCATAAAACATCCTTTATGCCATTGTCATCGCCCTCGGCTAGTTTCATCTGTCATTATTCCCCTTGCTCTTTTAAGTTATATTGGACATAAATTGTACTGTAAGCTTTTGGCTCCCTGGAGCATGTGTTGTTTGGATGAAAAAGGTAGTCTGAAAATATACTTTCTAATGTTAAAACATTGCGAAAAAAGGTCACCTGCTCACCTGCTTCAGTGCTCTATACATGTGTTAATTCTCATGATGAAGTAATATTTCTGTGTTCCTGTGCAAAAAGATAACTAGTTGGAAGTCCAAAAAAGCAACTATTTTGCCCCTAAATTTGTGTTTCCTCTCACGCAGCGCATAAGTACTTTTAGTAAAAATCTGTAGGTATACTATACTAGGTGCTCAAACAATTATATGTCTCACTTTTTTCTAGAATATTTTAGACTTTGTGACTTTTGTTTCTTGTAATTGAGAACATGTGTTCCTGGTGCCCCTTTTCGACTCCTGATTTTGTAGTCAGATGATTGTTGCTTTTGAAAGTATTGTCATTCTGGCACTGTTTCTTCTTTCTTGAACTGAATTGAAGGTGTCTGATTAGAAATATTTTCCTCCTTTTTCCAGTGCTACCTGTGAAGCCCCATTGCTTTATGTCTGGAGTTCAAGCTGCAATCTCTAGGAAGGAATGCTGCACTACATCTAGCTGTCCAAACGGTCTCAGTTTCAGTCTGGTGGAGATGAAGGCGCTGTGCATGTTAATATCACTTGTCAGCCCTAATAAAACGCCATACTCGTATCAGTGATCGTAGCTTCTTCTTTTTGGTTATTGTCTACTGTTTTACATGTACTTCTTTTTGGAACGATGTGAAGTAAATCGATTTTGTCGCATAAATTTTGCCGCTTTACCCATAACCTGTATAAATTTTGCCGCTTTGTCCGTAAACCTATCTGCGATGAGAAGCCTAGAATGGTGTCATCCAAATTCCAGTGAAACCATTCACCGTACTGTTTTATTTCATCCTTTATTTACAAAGTGTCATGTATACAAAGCAGGCCTCCCTGTGCAAACATATGAAACGCATGCACACAGGTGTGTGACGTACAAGTCTAGCCTTGTATCTTACTGGGAACATCTATATACAACTGCCAACTGAAAGGTCTCAAGAGCTTTGTCGATATGGCACACACATGAACTACATAAGCTCTGCAAACATGTAAACGTCGACACAAACTTGCGGGAAAACAGACTGCTAGTAACATGCAGCAAGGCGGCAAAGCATCAAACAGCTGAACCCGCAGCAGCCACCGTCTTGTTGAGCAGCTCACGGAGCGCGCCAGGAGAGGTCACCGGAGGACTGCACTTGAACTCTTGGCACACATGCGCCACCGCTGGCTTCCCCGATGGGCTGCTCTGTGCCATCTGCGCGATGTTTGCGTTGTTGCTCTCCCAGAATGCCATCTCTTCCATATTGCTGACATCTATCTGGATCACCTGGAGCAATGAAAGATGTATCCTGGTCGGTAAATGTATAACAGGGGTGCTATGTCGAACATATGATACAACCACTTAGTTCATCACTCACGGTTCTGTTTGGATCGTATGACGAGAATGCAGCAGCGACCATGTCTTGAAATTCTGGAGATGCTTTATTCCCCACCAGCACTACCTGCTTCCTTGATGGAACAGTGAGCATGTCTGCTGCACAGCACATCAGCGGCAATGCTATGCCAAGTTCTTTCAGTCTAGTCTCAAACACCGCCTACAAAACAGCAAATCCATTTGCAAGCATAAGCAGATATCCTGTCAATGTTACTCATCTCATCTCTGATGGGTCTAGGGCAGGAAAAATGACCATGGTGAAGCATAAACCTTATGGAATGAAACCAAACTACTGCTGTAATATAGTGCATACAAATGTAAACTAGATAAGTACATACCAGGAGATGTTCAACATTACGTTTGTAGCCTTCAGATTTTGCAGCATCAAATATACTGGACAACCTGACCATGTTGATCGCTGCCATCGAGTTTCCAGAAGGCTCTGCACCATCATAATCTTCTTTAACACGCAAAAGGACAGAAGGGTCTTCTCCGGGAGTATTGAAATAGCCACCCCCTTGTTTGTCCAAGAACAATTCATCCTGTAAATGTATGTAGTCATGGCAAAGTATTATGCAAGGGACGTGAAATATAACATCGATGCATTTAACAAGTGTGTTTCACTTGCCTGAATGACTTGCAGCTCGACAGCCCACAGAAGCCACTCTATCTTACCACCATATTCATAGAGATCCAGCAAGGCATTGATTAAGAAGGCATAATCATCTAAAAATCCTGGTGCTTTTGCTGGGCCATTTCGATAACTATGATGCAGCCTTTTTGAGCTTGCATCATAGAGTTTTTCCTTTATAAAGTTTGCTGCCTTTTCTGCAACTTGAAGATATTCTACTGGCTGCAAAAAATCCAGAAATATGGGTGGTCAATAAACAAATTTATGACTAGCTACAGTTGGACAGTGAATAAACTTGGTGATGTAAAAGCAGGTGAACGCAAAAATCCAGCACATGGATTCCTCCACTCGCACACGAAGGGGAGATAGCTTTTTAGACCTGATACAAAACAACATAAATGGCTACTGCTGCAGAAGAGGCCCCCATACAACATCATGGTGTTTTCTTTGTCTTTGTCATACACGACATAACATAATAGACAGTTTCATTCTAACAGTTTTGAACAGATGTATGGGCCTGCATTCCCAGGGATAGGTTTCAACAATGAAGTATGGAGTAGAAAAGTATGACAAAGACTTGTAGAAAGCAGGGATGGATAAAAGCTCCTGCCATATTGATTGGCTGATCATGCACATAGTCACATAACTATAATAACATGAGTTCATGTCAACGACAGAAAATAAAAATGCAATATTCAGAGAATGGAGCACAAAACTTACATCGCATCCTACTACAGGGAAATAAAATTTGGTTCCAGGTGGTCCTGACTTCAAAATTTGTGAAGCTCTTGCAAAGGCAGATATTGCTAATCCATTCCATGAAACAATAACCTAAAACAAATCATATTTAATAGATTATTATGTGACCAGATTAAAAACAAGCTGCTGTCAGCATGTAGACAAGAACCTTGTCGTCCAAATGTGGTCTTGGCCTTTTTGATCGGACATCAAACAACTTCTGTCTGCATTCCCCCAGGATTCCATAATATTCATCAACAGACTTGCCATACTTCGATGCCATCAATGAACCCGGTCTTCTTTCTATTAACACATTTTTACCACTGAACTCGTTGTGAGGATCACTCATCCCCGAAAGGTCACAGTTGCCAGACGATTTAACATAGTAGTGGTTCTTGAACAGCTCCGCGTTCTCCCCAAGTGTGTCTTCGATCTATGTGACAAATATTAGACAGCTTGAGCATGCAATATACCAGAAGTTGAGGCCAATGAATAAATCAACAAATCTAAAATATATAGCTGCCTGGGATCCTGGTCTTTGCTTCAGTGGCAGGAGCATATGGTGGCTGGTAGCAAGAAGTTGGGCACGTTACAGCCTTATAGGGGATCTATCACCAAATACGGTTGACAGTTTAGCGATAGGCTTTGTACTGACTAAGTTTTTAGTGACTTGACAGCCTGCTGATTTTAGTTTATTCAAACTTTTGTGACCTTCTAATAAATTGAGTTGTGTGCATCTTCAGGTGCAGAGTCTGTGTGAGTTATTCTTCTATTTTGAATAAAATGTAGTAGAACTATTCAATAAAATTCTGCATAGCACCAAGTAGGTACCAAGTACCAACTACATGAGAACAACTTACATAAAATTATTGATTATTAGGAGGTAGGCATCAGACTAGCCAGTCTTTAGAGCCGGTATGTATAAGACTAGGCAATGGCTACAGAGTCCAGTCGCTAATGGTATGACTTGAGTCCTATTTGTAAGTACATTTATTGTGGAACAAGAGCAGAGGAGACTATAATTGTCTTTTCAACTTGGATTATCATCTAGCTGAAGTGCAAGCCTGTGTAAAGAGCTCCAATATGTATAAAGTTTCTTCAAGAAACCAGCAAGAGTGTGTAAAGTGGCTACGATGTAAACTCAAAGTCAACAGCAGGCGGACTTACATGATGGTTGATGGTATGCGACAGTTCGAACTTAAAGGCCATTTCATAAGGAGCGGGCAGGGGTATGCATTAAATCGGCAAATAAATAGAAAAGGCTTACATATGCACTACTAAGTATGTACCTCTTGACTTGTCCACACATAGAAAGAACCCTCTTTTTTTCTTGGAGCACCTTCATATTCTGCACTGTCAGCATCTTCTGCTGAGAAAATTTCACCATCTTCTCCAATCATGTCTCTCCTCAAGTAATCAAGTATATCACGTGCAACTGAAGAATAATACTCATCTCCTGTGATAACATATGTATCCAAGTATACATTGGCTATCTGTCCCTGGTCGTACAGCATCTTCTCAAAATGTGGAACTGCACAGAGAGAAAATATGAGAGATGAATTCTGCAAATACATGAAAAGAAAATGTCTCCTTGAGATTAAAGTGAACTTACCATGCCAGCACTCGTCCACACTATATCTATGAAAACCACCTCCAACATGGTCATGAACTCCACCTCTAGCCATACATTGCAGTGTATGAGTTACCATCTTCATTATGTTTTGAGCTTCACTCTCCTGCCTAGCTTCCATGTGTTTCCGGAATTTATAGAGCATTATGCAATCTTCAACAGGTCTTGGAAACTTGGGAGCAGAGCCAAATCCACCAAACTTCGGGTCATAACTGCTTGCTAACTGCATGGATATAAGGTGCGGGGCTATTAAGGCAAATAAGCTAGCTAGTTAAGAAAAAATAAGAGCTGAAAAAGGTAGGTGAGATCCTGATAGGCTATGACAAGCTAGTGGCGCTGAGTTAAGGATGTTAGAGTGCCCTAGTAAGACATGGAATAAATCAGGAACCAGGATACGCCATCGAGGAAAAATGCAGTTTAGCTACTGCACTGTTGTTAACTCAATCGAGCAATTAGTTCACTCACTCAGTCTCGCCAGCTGTTTGTGTAGAAGTTCATAGTAGTAGCATACAGAAAAATAAAGTTGGAGTACTTCTCAAACCTTTTCAACACATTGATCTACATAAAGAACAGCCACATCATTTGGCACATCTTGAGAGCTAGCCTTGGCAGATAATGCATCTCTAAGTTGCTCAATGACCACATTTCCTGACTTCTCAAGCGCATCACGTTTAGTATCCCAGGCTTCCTTGACCTTTCTGAAGATAAGTTATGAACAAAACTGTCATATCATGTATGAGCAATCAACTTCAGAAATGATGTATTTGAGCTGATACCTTAAAATAGTCTTGAACCCAGGTCTTCCATACTTATCATCTGGTGGAAAGTATGTACCGCCCATCAAAGGTTTTAAGTTGGGTGATAAAAAGACGGTCAAAGGCCAACCACCACCGCCGTACAGCGCTGACACATATGTCATATAAACCTAAAGAATGTGACAGTGTCATAAATCAAGAACTGGTGCAAGTAAAAACCTCTCAAAAGTGTGACAATAGAAAAACAGGAAAATAAAGCCTGCCATCCACAAGAAACAGCATTTTTCTTTTACATTTGATCACTAGAAAACAGAATACCTTGTCAACATCTGGCCGCTCTTCACGATCCACCTGTCAAAACTAATAATCAGAAAGAAGAATTGCAGTTACATTGCATTTGCATAACTTCCACACACCGGAAGACATGTAATGAGTGGGAAGTAAAACAATTAGCAACTAGTGCTTATAAACACGACACTACCTTGATGCTAACAAACCAATCATTTAGAATCTTAGCAACTTCTTCATTCTCAAAAGACTCCACCTCCATTACATGGCACCTTTAACATTCAGCCAATAATAAAAACTGCGGTTAACATCTTTATGCTGTGCAAATAAATCACGATAAGATGAAGAACGACAACTCACCAATGGCATGTACTATAGCCAACTTCACGGACACATCCACATTTCCCATGCAGCAAAAGAAGGATGTTAAGATAGAACGGAAGGACTAACTAAATTTGTATTACGCAAGTCACAAGTAGGTTTGTTTTGCTAAAATGAAGCAGATGAATTTGAATGAATCTAGCTTTAGTTTGAACCTGGGAACACCCATCCACTACACAACTATTTATTAAAAAAATTACAGAGCCGGATTGGCAGCCATTCCTCTGCCCCGAACTATAGCACCACCAGTTGGTAATTGATCTAACACAATTGTTCATGAAAATACCACATCAAGGAATCAGTCCACTACGCAACGGTATCATAATTGCCCCATAATCCAATCGATCATAGCGGTATTAAATGAAGCACTAGAGTATACTTGTATTTCGGACAGTGCATTACTTGACAGAAAGATGGGGATATCCAATTTGCGAGCCTTCTCGAAAGCCTCATCTCCCCAAGGATACCAGTCAACCTGCATATGGAATCAGTAAGTATGCCAGTTCAATAATGGTACCTATAATCCACAGACAATCCAAAAGCCAGTGGAGAGCCAAAGGCAAAGCAAACATTTGTCACGGCTAGCTGTTCCAGAAGGATCTGAATTTTCAGGATAAATAAACTCGTAAACATAGCTCGACCACGTGTTCAGCTAAGCGCTCCTCAGTCACTCGCGCCCAAAAATACAGTAAGTGCTCCCCGAATCAGGCGAACGCGAGGGAGCACACGCGCGACCGCAAGGTGCTCGGCGGAATCCCCCCGCGGGGGAGGGGGAGGAGAACCGCGGCGCGAGCAGACGGAAGCAGAGCCTCCGTGGGGTGGGGTGGGATGGAGTGGAGGGGTCGCTCACCGGGTTGTGCGCGTGCTGCAGCAGGTAGGGGCTGTGCTCGGCGGCGAGGCGGTTCGGCTTCCGGCCGCCGCCGGGCGCGGCGGCGGAGGAGGAGGAGGACGACGACATGGCGGCGGCGGCGACGAAGCGGAGGGGCGAGGAGCAGGAGCTGGGGCGGTGGCGGTGGCGGAGGCGGAGGAGACGCGTGGAGAGCATGGGAGGGGGGCGGAGGGGTGGGGGGAGGAGGCAGGATATGACCCGGGCGAGAGCGGCGGGCGGCGCCATGCGTCCCCTGCTTAGCGGCGACACGTCCACGCCCCACAGCGGCAGAGGCAGGTCGGCCTGCCAAGGTGTCACTGCGCTCTGGGCCCACCACCGCTCGTCAAAACGATGGTACTGCTACATCGCGAGAGCTATGCCTCGCCTACTGCGAGTGCTAAGTTTTTTTCATTTAAGGAATCTCGCCAACTTTAGTCATTCAAGAAATGTTCAAAGGTACTCCATGTGGATTTTCAAACTAAACATGCCTGCCTATGACTAATTTACGAGCTATTTTGGTGAGACTGTGAGCTTCAAAAATGAAGTTCGTACCCTCATGAATAAAAAATACACAACTCAAAAATTTTCATGCTCTCTACTATATCTTTGACTATTGCTCCAGGAGGGACACCAGTACCCTGTCTATTGTGAGGCTCCGATTTTGGAATCTGCCTGTCATTTTTGACTTGGTCTTCCATGTGGAGGGTGTCGATGCTAGGTGGGCTCGTTTTGTAAGTGGTTGTGTGTTGTGGGTCATGGGTCTCGATGGCGAAAGGCAGGTTTCTTCGTTGGGTCAAAGTATGAGGCGGCTTGGGGTTGTTTCTCGGCTCTCTTATTGAACATACAAAGGATGAAGGGGGTGCTAGGCAGGCTCGCGCCGTCCACGTGTCGTTATGAATAGTGCACAGCAAACGCATCGAGCGAGAAAAAGATTAGGATTGGGGCCTCTCTCTTCCGTGAAAATATCTTCTCTTTCCCTCATCCCGCTACTCTTTTCCGTGCCGCCGCCACCCCCCTCCCTCTCGGCCGCAGCCTCTTCTCCTCCGCCTCCACCACCTCCTCCTCCCCTGCCTCTCCTCCGCCCGTGTCTCCTCACCCCCTCCCTCTGCCTCCGTGCTCAAAAGGAGGAGCCGGGGTCGCTGCCGCTGCGCCTCTACATCATCCTCACATGTCGTCGTCCTCGCCATTCTGCTGGTGGAGAGCTCCTCCATGATGGCATCCACCGGATCTCGCCGGCCCAGATCCACACGCCTCCTCCTTCCTCGGCAGCTCGTGGAGCCCCATGATGCGTCAACGACGCGTGACTGCACTCGGCCGTGCTTCCCGCCGCTCCCAGCCACCGGGCGCCGTCCTGCCGACGCGGCCCACCGCATGCTGCCACCAGCGTCTTCTTCATGGCGGTAGAGGCGCAGCTTGGGCCCGGGGACCCTGCCGGCGTGGGTGCGCCGGCACCGGCTTCGTCTCCATGGTATTCTCTCTTCTCCAATCCCCTCTTTCAGTTCTCTCTCCTTCTCTTTCTTATGTACTATCTCCCTGATAAACAGAGAGGGCCGAATCAGGACGGATCCAAGCTGCCGATGTCTTTGCTGCCATGGACGAGCCCTCACCCAACGACCAAGGAAGGTAGGAGAAATCCCTCCTCCTTGCGTTGTTGCATCACTGCATCCCCACGGTAGTCCAGGAGGAGCTCGACTGCCTGCTTTGAGAAGAAGAGATGGCGGGAGGATGAGGCCTAGGCTTGACAAGACGTGGGTTGGAGCAAGAAGTAGAGCAGGCAATGCCCCTCTCTTCATTGGCATCTGCACAGCCAAATCAAGGACCTAAGCTCCTGGTAAGATCCTCTTTCATTTGTTTTCTTTTTCTTCCATGCCTGCATATCTCTAACTTTTATTAGTTTATCCTTCTAATTTGTGTGATTAATTTGTTGGTTATATTGTTGTTACTAGCTTCTGATTTGGGTGATGAACAAATGATTTAGATTTTGTGTGTAAATCTGAGACGCTACATTGGTTTGGAAGTGAATTTGTAACCTTTTGTTTAATTTAATGGCATGCTAAAGTTGATGCAGATGTCCTGTATTTGCTAATGTTGTCCATAGGAACGGCCCTCCTATGCCCTGCTCCTCTCGCATTGGCGCAAACTCGGCTCCTCCCCGCCTCCGTCTCCATGTGTGCAGCGACGACCCCGGGAGGAGCTCGAGCCGCAGAGGTGGTCCATGGTGTCGTCGCCGTCATCCTCGGCAGGAGAAGCGTGGGCTGCAGAGATGGCCGGATCCGTCCGATCCTTGCGCTGCCGTCCGTCCACCCTCGTTCGTCCCTGCATCCTCGTAGCGAGAATAACACCTCCTGGAGGCGCACACATACAGGGCCGGCCCATTAGCTCGGGTCATTCGCTCACGCTTAGGTCGCTTCCTCGCTCGGTTTCACGTACTGGTTTGCTTTGTTTTTTTTCCCTTCCTTTTCCCCCTTTTTTCCTTTTTTGTTTTCTTTTATGATTCTTTTGGTTTTATTTTCTCTTCACCTGTTTTCTTCGGTTTTATGTTTTTCTTTGTTTATCCACCGATTTTCTTTATCTCTTTCATGGCTTTTACTGTTTTTTCTTTTTCTTTGTTTCTTTCTCGGCTTTTCGTTTTTTGTGTTTCTTTCTTTTGATCTCAACTCTTTTTACATACACAATTCAATACTTTGCGTATACACTAGAAACATTTTTTGTATACACAATAACATTTTTTAAATACATGATTAGCATTTTTTTGAAAACTTATATTTTTATGTCTATTTTTCATACATGTTGTACGTATTTTGTATATACCAGGGTATTTTTTATATAGACATTCAATGTTTTTCAAATACATGATTAACAACCACACGTGGGGAAGGTTGGGAGGTAGAAACGTACCTCCAACCTACTTCACAATGGGAATGTATCGTCGTTATCCATTGGGATACTGGTCCGGCCACAATTTCAAAGTCGAAGAATCTTTTGGGCAGACTTCATAAGAAAACCGGGTCAAGGAAGCCAGTCATCGTCGGCTGACTGGGATAAACGGGTCGACCCAAATTTAGTGGTCCAAGACTCTAGTCTGTCGTTGCAATGCACATGTCTTTTCAAGGTTGTTACCCTTAATGCTTATGTGAAAATTTTAATCTATTGACCCAATACTTTTTTGGTTTTAGAGTTACAAATATGCTACCTTATGATGTAAACGATTCATGGTACGAAGTTGCATATGTTCCTTTTTTTTCTTTGAACAAATAAATTTTGAATATCCTAACATACTAAAAATCCTTCTGCTAAATGATCCTAGTTGAAATAATATTGCTGTATAAATGCTCTTTATTCTTGTGCAATCTGGTATTGAAACGGGTCGGACCATGTTGCCCAATAAGAACATGAGTCCACTCGATATTGAACAATTGGGTCGGTTCCATGTCCCTGGACAGAACAGACGGGCCGACAGGGACAAGGTCCGTTCCAGAGCGGGCCAGCCCATTCCCAAATCAAAAGTCTTTATAGCCACGTGGACAGACAGTTTCAAGTGGAGCTTGAAACTCCTCTCTCTCAAAAAAAAAGTGGAGCTTGAAACTCACTCGAATAACCCGGGCCCACGGGTCAGCACCTTCCTCCAGCCGCCACCACGCACGGCCACCGGAGCGCCACAAAGCCCAGCTCCCCACCACTCTCCCTCCCTCCCCCGCCTCCGATCGCGCAGACAGCAGACGTGCAGCCCCTCCCTCCGGCCGCTCGCTCTCCGGCGACCTTCTCCAGCGGCTCCTCGCAGCGCAGCGCAGGTACCGGTCGCCGAACTCGACCCGCCTCTGTTTCTTCTTCTTCTTCTTCTTCCGCGTGTCGGGATCTGGGTGCCGGTACGTTTGATCTCCTACGGGCGTCCAAAGTACTACCTAGTTTGTGATTCTGTTTTGTATGTGGTTTTATATGTACATCGCGCAGACCCTGCTACTTTTTTATTACATCCATTTTCACGGTGAATGAAATTGGGAGCTCTGCTCCTCAATTCTAAAAGCTCCTCTAGTAGTAGGTGAACTGTAAATCATTATCCATCAATTGGAAGTCATCAGGGAGTCGCCATACTTTACTTTTCATTCAGTCTTGTACCTTCAAGTTTGGGATCCTTCTGCAAGAAGTCAATTATTATTGCGCTACAATACTGAAACTCCAAAATGTTAATCGACCTGATTGTGTTTGGGATGTCTGATACAGCGGCATAGATGGCTGCTGGGAGGGGCATTAGTCAGCTTCTGAAGAAAGCATTTCGCCAGAACCCATCTGTAAGTACTTCCCAAATCTTTCAAAAAAATTACCCTTTCAAAAAATTAATTTACCATATAACGTTATTCACTTTTGACTGCTGGCCATTATTAATTTGCCATATTATGTTATTCGCTTTTGACTATTTGCCTTTAACCTAAAAAAATAAATAGAGCCAGCATCTTAAGTCACTGTAGTTGGTCAAAAGTGTTCTAGTTGCAACAGTACCTATGCATGCACCAAATCAGTATTGCTTAGTTATCTTGTACTTCTTACAGGGTTCATCTCTTCTTTCTTCGACCCGGATAAATCATGGAGAAGGAACCACTGGCTTCACTGGACTGAAAGCATTGGCTATTCTTGGAGTTGGTGCTTCTGGCCTTTTAAGCTTTGGTACAATAGCCTCAGCTGATGAAGCAGAGCATGGGCTAGAATCTCCGAGCTATCCCTGGCCACATGAAGGCATTCTTAGTTCTTATGATCACGCATCGTAAGTAAAATCATATTCTCTTGTCAAACAACTTCTGTTGACGGCTTGACTCTGTCAAATAGTCCAAATTCAGCAACAGGGGAATACTATACAGTTATGCTATCTGTAAAAACATTCTCTTGAAATTGATAACATCTCTTCAAAACGTATTTAATTTTCTTGAAAACATATGAGCAGAATAAGGCGTGGACACCAAGTTTATCAGCAAGTGTGTGCCTCCTGTCACTCGATGTCCCTGATCTCGTACCGAGACCTGGTGGGTGTTGCCTACACAGAGGAGGAAACAAAAGCAATGGCTGCTGAGATTGAGGTGGTTGATGGGCCAAACGATGAAGGTGAGATGTTCACGCGTCCGGGTAAGCTGAGCGACCGTCTGCCGCAACCATATGCGAATGAGCAAGCGGCTCGATTTTCAAATGGTGGAGCATACCCCCCAGACCTCAGCTTGATTACAAAGGTAACCGACTGATGGATTCTGGTTGCATTCATCCAATATTTGGCCTCAAAATTGCATCTCACTCTTTGCTTACATTTTTTGCAGGCCAGGCACAATGGTCAGAACTACGTTTTTTCTCTTCTTACTGGTTACCGTGATCCACCTGCTGGCGTCTCGGTAATCCTCTCATTTATATTTGGTGTTGATGGTTTCTTGTAGTTCTCAGTGTGATCTTTCCCAGTTTATACTTTTATTATGCGTAAGTAGTAGCAGCAATCATATGGATACAATGGACTCACATTGTCGCATGATGGGCATACACTTGTTCTGAACTGACACTGAATTTACCCAACCATTAATCCTTTCGCGCTACTTGCTTCTCTCTAGTCAACTCCAAAGTTTGAAGAATCTTAAAATGCTGTGCCACTCTAGCACTCTCTCGTCACTAAACCTAATCTTTTTTTACTTGGAATTTGAAAGGATTACCAACTTCATCTGAGATTTTTTTTTCTAAAATTCCTCTGAGAATTGTACTGTGAAAAGGAATATCGTAATCAAATTTCCAGTGAGTATGCATCTTTCTCTCTTGCTTGAAGTTGTCTGGTAAGGTAGGCACCTTGTTTTGGTTATATACTCTGATGAAATTCTTACACTCTAACTCGTAGGCTTCTGCTTTTGATTTAAAATCTAGATTCGTGATGGCTTGCATTACAATCCCTACTTTCCTGGTGGCGCCATAGCCATGCCCAAGATGCTTAGTGATGGAGCTGTCGAGTATGAAGACGGTACTCCTGCAACGGAAGCTCAGGTAAGTCTTACTTTTTTATTGTGAGCATCACGGAACTTATGCCGCGGATTCAGTACTAAATTAAAGGATGGGTTGTTTCGTCTGTCTACACTCTACAATTCCAGATGGGTAAAGATGTTGTCTCATTCTTGTCATGGGCAGCTGAGCCTGAGATGGAAGAGAGAAAGCTGGTAGCCCTCTTGCTCTACACCACCCATTTTATTTGAATGGCAGCATAAGTTATCTACTCCGTAATTTCTTACTCCACCTTGTGATTGTAACATAGATGGGAGTCAAATGGATCTTCCTACTCTCGCTCGCGCTTATGCAAGCCGCGTATTACCGGCGCATGAAGTGGTCAGTCTACAAGTCCCGCAAGCTGGTCCTTGATGTGGTCAATTGAGGACCAACGCTTAGTTTTCTCCAAACATTTCTTGGGTAATTAGAAATATTTGAAATAAGGAGTACTACATGATGTACGTTTTCACACTGGCATGGTTGCCATGCATGCCTAGAATGCATTATTCTTGTCTACAATTACTCTCATCTTTTTGGGGGACACGGTTTTCAAAATTTGAAATGTCAACAGTGCCAACAATCATCTAGGAGAAAAGTAAGACAGAGATTGTAAATATATTTGTGCTTTGTTGATCAAATTTACTTTTACTTTGTTTTTTAAGTCCTGTAATCCACCGTCCACACACAGACTGCAGTTTCAGGATTTGGGGAATATATGTAACCCTTCTGGATTTTTGATTTGCTGGCTTGCGGCACTATCTATCGCTGCATATTATTTGCATTCTAAGTTGATCACAGTCTACCATTGTTGTGGAACACACACCTAATCAGAGAGGAGTCGAAGGTGAGAGAAGGGGAAGACACTGGAATTTCTGGTCGGGGCAACCTCATCCATTCATCCTATATTTACAAAGCTTCACTTTTACACATAAGACCTCTAGCTTTCCTATTATACAACAAGAGTACCGACACTCCCCCTCAAGATGGGGCGAAGATGTCAATAAGCCCCATCTTGTTACAAATCCTCATAAATGATACAACACCTATCCCTTTTGTTAATACATCTGCAAGCTGATCTACTGACCTAACATAACTAATTTGGAATAACCTTTCATCTAATTTCTCCCGGATAAAGTGCTTATCTATCTCAATATGTTTAGTTCTATCATGATAAACAGGGTTGTTCACTATGTTAATTGTGGTCTGATTATCACAATATACCTGAATAGGTGCACCACTGCACAACTGCAACTCCGTTAGCAATGTTTTTAGCCACATCGGTTCACACAACCCTGAAGCCATTGACCTAAACTCCGCTTCCGCTGTCGAGCGAGCTACCACACTCTGCTTCTTACTTCTCCAACTAACCAAATTTCCTCCGACAAACATGCAGTAGCCCGAAGTTGAACGCCTATCATCTAAGCATCCAGCCCAGTCCGCATCTGTGTACCCCTCGATTCTCAGATGTCCATGATTAGTGAACAGGATTCCCTTCCCAGGACAACTCTTTAAGTATCTTAGAATTCTATTCGCAGTATCTAAGTGGCTAGTTCTAGGGTCATGCATGTATCTGCTTACAATACTAACAGCATATGCTATATATGGTCTCGTATGTGACAGATAGATTAACCGCCCAACTAGCCTTTGGTATTGGTACCTATCAACGGGATCACCACCATCTGCAGAGATCCGATGATTCTGTTCTATTGGTGTGACTGCAGGTTTGCATCCTAACATCCCTGTCTCCACAAGTAAATCAAGCACATATTTTCTTTGTGAGAGATAAATACCTTTTGGCCCATATGCAACTTCGATTCCCAAGAAGTAGTGGAGATATCCCATATCCTTGACTTCAAACGACTTTGCTAACATCTTCTTCAACTGAGATATCTCCACCTCATTGTTACCTGTAATCACAATGTCATCTACATAAACAAGAAGTATAGTAATGTAATCGCACTGGCATTTAAAGAATAGGGTATGACCTGCATTGCTTTGCCGATAACCCATGGAACAGATTTCCTTTCGAAACCTTCCGAACCATGCCCTAGGAGACTGTTTTAGTCCATACAGAGACTTTGTTAACCGACACACTTTACCCTCTGTTTCCCGGCTTCTAAACCCAGGAGGAATTTCCATATAAACCTCCTCTTGCAAATCTCCATGGAGAAAAGCATTTTTAACCTCCATCTGGAACAATTTCCACTTCTGATTTGCAGCTATCGAGATTAAAGTCCTGACAGCACTCAATTTCGCCACTGGAGCAAACGTTTCATCATAATCCACTCCGTAAGTTTGACTACACCCTTTTGCAACTAGCCTAGCCTTATTGAAGGAAATATGCCCTAGAGGCAATAATAAAGTTATTATTTATTTCCTTATATCATGATAAATGTTAATTATTCATGCTCGAATTGTATTAACCGGAAACATAATACATGTGTGAATACATAGACAAACAGAGTGTCACTAGTATGCCTCTACTTGACTAGCTCGTTAATCAAAGATGGTTATGTTTCCTAACCATGGACAAAGAGTTGTTATTTGATTAACGGGATCACATCATTAGTTGAATGATCTGATTGACATGACCCATTCCATTAGCTTAGCACACGATCATTTAGTATGTTGCTATTGCTTTCTTCATGACTTATACATGTTCCTATGACTATGAGATTATGCAACTCCCGTTTGCCGGAGGAACACTTTGTGTGCTACCAAACGTCACAACGTAACTGGGTGATTATAAAGGGGCTCTACAGGTGTCTCCAAAGGTACATGTTGGGTTGGCGTATTTCGAGATTAGGATTTGTCACTCCGAATGTCGGAGAGGTATCTCTGGGCCCTCTCGGTAATGCACATCACTTAAGCCTTGCAAGCATTGCAACTAATGAGTTAGTTGCGGGATGATGTATTACGGAACGAGTAAAGAGACTTGCCGGTAACGAGATTGAACTAGGTATTAGATTCCGACGATCGAATCTCGGGCAAGTAACATACCGATGACAAAGGGAACAACGTATGTTGTTATGCGGTCTGACCGATAAAGATCTTCGTAGAATATGTAGGAGCCAATATGGGCATCCAGGTCCCGCTATTGGTTATTGACCAGAGATGTGTCTCAGTCATGTCTACATTATTCTCGAACCGTTGGGTCCGCACGCTTAACGTTACGATGACAGTTATTATGAGTTTATGCATTTTGATGTACCAAAGTTAGTTCGGAGTCCCGGATGTGATCACGAACATGACGAGGAGTCTCGAAATGGTCGAGACATAAAGATTGATATATTGGAAGCCTATATTTGGACATCGGAAGTGTTCCGGGTGAAATCAGGATTTTACCGGAGTACCGGGAGGTTACCGGAACCCCCCGGGAACCATATGGGCCTTAGTGGGCTTTAGTGGAAAGGAAAAAGGGGAAGCCCAAGGTGGCCGCGCGCCTCCCCCTCCCCTAGTCTTATTAGGACTAGGAGAGGTGGCCGGCCCCCCTCTCTCTCTTTCCCCCTCGGGGAATCCTAGTCCAACTAGGATTGGGGGGGAGTCCTACTCCCGGTAGGAGTAGGACTCCTCCTGCGCCCTCCTCCTGGCCGGCCGCCCCCTCCCCCTTGGCTCCTTTATATACGGAGGCAAGGGGGCACTCTAGACACACAAGTTGATCATTGAGATCGTTCCTTAGCCGTGTACGGTGCCCCCTGCCACCATATTCCACCTCGATCATATTGTAGCAGTGCTTAGGCGAAGCCCTGCGACGGTAGAACATCAAGATCGTCACCACGCCGTCGTGCTGACGGAACTCCTCCCCGACGCTTTGCTGGATTGGAGCCCGTGGATTGTCATCGAGCTGTACGTGTGCTAAGAACTCGGAGGTGCCGGAGTAACGGTGCTTGGATCGGTCGGATCGGGAAGACGTACGACTACTTCCTCTACGTTGCGTCAACGCTTCCGCTGTTGATCTACAAGGATACGTAGATCACACTCTCCCCTCACGTTGCTATGCATCACCATGTTCTTGCGTGTGCGTAGGAATTTTTTTGAAATTACTACGTTCCCCAACACTTATATCTTTGCACCTTACCATTTTTGAAATTACTACGTTCCCCAACAGTGGTATCAGAGCCTAGGTTTTATGGTTTGATGTTATTTGCACGAGTAGAACACAAGTGAGTTGTGGGCGATACAAGTCATACTGCCTACCAGCATGTCATACTTTGGTTCAGCGGTATTGTTGGACGAGACGACCCGGACCAACATTACGCGTACGCTTACGCGAGACCGGTTCCCCCGACGTGCTTTGCACACAGGTGGCTTGCGGGCGACTATCTCTCCAACTTTAGTTGAACCGAGTGTGGCTACGCCCGGTCCTTGCGAAGGTTAAAACGGAGTCTATTTGACAAACTATCGTTGTGGTTTTGATGCGTAGGTGAGATTGGTTCTTGCTTAAGCCCGTAGCAGCCACGTAAAACTTGCAACAACAAAGTAGAGGACGTCTAACTTGTTTTTGCAGGGCATGTTGTGATGTGATATGGTCAAAACATGATGCTAAATTTTATTGTATGATATGATCATGTTTTGTAACCGAGTTATCGGCAACTGGCAGGAGCCATATGGTTGTCGCTTTATTGTATGCAATGCAATCGCGATGTAATGCTTTACTTTATCACTAAGCGGTAGCGATAGTCGTGGAAGCATAAGATTGGCGAGACGACAACGATGCTACGATGGAGATCAAGGTGTCGCGCCGGTGACGATGGTGATCATGACGGTGCTTCGGAGATGGAGATCACAAGCACAAGATGATGATGGCCATATCATATCACTTATATTGATTGCATGTGATGTTTATCTTTTTATGCATCTTATCTTGATTTGATTGAAGGTAGCATTATAAGATGATCTCTCACTAAATTATCAAGAAGTGTTCTCCCTGAGTATGCACCGTTGCCAAAGTTCGTCGTGCCCAGACACCACGTGATGATCGGGTGTGATAAGCTCTACGTCCATCTACAACGGGTGCAAGCCAGTTTTTGCACACGCAGAATACTCAGGTTAAACTTGACGAGCCTAGTATATGCAGATATGGCCTCGGAACACGGAGACCGAAAGGTCGAGCATGAATCATATAGTAGATATGATCAACATAACGATGTTCACCATTGAAAACTACTCCATCTCACGTGATGATCGGTTATGGTTTAGTTGATTTGGATCACGTGATCACTTAGAGGATTAGAGGGATGTCTATCTAAGTGGGAGTTCTTAAGTAATTTGATTAATTGAACTTAAACTTATCATGAACTTAGTACCTGATAGTATCTTGCTTGTTTATGTTGATTGTAGATAGATGGCTCGTGCTGTTGTTCCGTTGAATTTTAATGCGTTCCT